ACGGTGAGGATTTGTTGTTGGAAGATGAGGAGGAGGAGGAAGAGGAAGAGACGAAAGTTGTGATGAGAGGTTCACGAGTTGCTCGGAGATTTGTGATTGAAGATGAGGAAGGAAGTGATGATGAATTTGATGAAAGTGAAGACGAAGGTAGAGGAAGGAGGAGAGGAGAAGAAGATGAAGATGTGGTTGGTAAGGCATTGCAAAAGTGTGCTAAAATCTCAGCGGATCTTCGTAAGGAGCTTTATGGTAGCTCTTCTGGGGCTGCTACTTGTGATAGATACTCTGAAGTGGAAACTTCTACTGTGAGAATTGTCACACAGGTACTCACTGGTCTTTATAGAATTGGATTTTGAAGGTTTCTGAAATTGTATTCATGAATGCAACTTTGCTTGATTTTTAGGTTTGCATGACTAAGCTAGAAAGTGGTTGCTTTTAGATAATGTGGAATGTGTTCTTTAAGACGTTTGGAAAATGGATTTTGATTAGATAACATATATTGCCAAAATCGTTTATTGTTTAGTTAAGTGTTTACTGTCTTGCTGACTAAACTCATTTACATTTTGGGTTGATTCTGTGATGATTACAGACTGATATTGATGAAGCATGTAAAGCAGAGGATTCTGATTTTCAGCCTATCCTCAAGCCGTACCAGTTAGTTGGTGTTAACTTTCTTCTTTTATTGTATAAGAAGGGAATTGAAGGAGGTAACTATGTTGTTAGTGGTTTGGATCTGTAGGAACTTTCTAGCGTAATTATCATTTTGTAACTGACATTTTTGTTCCTTGTAGCCATTCTAGCCGATGAGATGGGTCTTGGAAAGACCATTCAGGTGCATTGTTTTCTGTTTGTACTTGCACAAGTGGTCTTTGTTTCTTTATTTTATTGAGCTAATGTTTCTCTCATTAACAGGCAATCACATATTTAACCCTCCTAACTCATTTAAACAATGACCCTGGTCCTCATTTGGTTGTATGCCCCGCCTCTGTCTTAGAAAACTGGGAGAGAGAACTCAGAAAGTGGTGTCCTTCATTTACTGTACTTCAGTATCACGGGGCTGCAAGAGCAGCCCACTCAAGAGAATTGAATTCTTTGTCAAAAGCTGGGAAGCCACCTCCATTTAATGTGCTTCTTGTGTGTTACTCTCTGTTTGAACGGCATAGGTGCAACTTTGAAGTACTCTTGAGTATGATTTGCTTTTTAACTTAAACCCCGTTACTTACAGATATTCCCATTTTACAGTGAACAACAGAAAGATGACCGAAAGGTGCTGAAACGGTGGCGCTGGAGTTGTGTTTTGATGGATGAAGCTCATGCTCTAAAAGATAAGAACAGTTATAGGTGGAAGAACTTGATGTCTGTAGCCAGAAACGCAAACCAGCGTCTGATGCTTACAGGGACGCCTCTACAAAATGATTTGCATGTACGGTTGGTTTCTTTACATCTGTTCACCCTTTAACTCTTCTGGTTGAAGATCTAGTTACCTTAATATTGAAGACATATCTTTATGTTGTCATGCAATTACCCTGTTAACCTTCAAATGTACCTTTTTGTACTTACTTTCACATGTTAATCTTTTCAGGAACTATGGTCGCTGCTAGAATTCATGTTGCCTGATATATTTACAACAGAGAATGTCGACTTGAAGAAGCTGTTGAATGCAGAAGACACTGAGTTGATTACTCGAATGAAATCTATTCTAGGTCCATTCATCTTGAGGCGTTTGAAATCCGATGTGATGCAGCAACTTGTTCCGAAGATACAGCGGGTATGGATATATCTATGCATGTTTAGTTACATGACTTTTAATCTTCAAGCTGCAATCTCATCAGCTTCTCATCAATCCAATGCAGGTTGAGTATGTAACTATGGAACAAAAGCAAGAAGATACATACAAAGAAGCCATAGAGGATTATCGTGCTGCTTCCCAAGTACGGCTTTTGAAGCTTTCATCGAAATCCTTGAATTCTTTAGCCAAGGCACTTCCAAAGCGTCAAATTTCAAACTATTTTACTCAATTTCGGAAGGTAGTAAATTCTTAGCTGTAAATACAATCCCCAAAATGTCTCAAATTTGTGCAAATCAGTTTTTTCACTCATGTGTTACTAAATTTTGGTGGTCCAGATTGCAAATCATCCATTGTTAATTAGGCGAATATATAGTGATGAGGACGTCATTCGCATTGCCAGGAAGTTGCACCCAATTGGTGCATTTGGATTTGAATGTTCCTTGGAAAGAGTCATCGAGGAACTTAAAAGTTACAACGATTTCCGTATTCACCAGGTAAATTTCTCTTTTTCCATGAACAATATGGAAACCAAACATGTTATACAAATTAACAAGATAACTTGTTTTTTTCTATAGCTTTTGTTCCAATTTGGAGTTAATGATACCAAAGGAACTCTCTCAGACAAACATGTTATGCTCTCTGCAAAATGTCGGGTAAGCATATTTCTTCTCCTTTTCATGTCTTCTTAATCAAATAATTAACCCCGTGAGCAATCTAACTGTCTCTTTATGTACCAGACATTAGCTGAGCTCCTCCCTTCAATGAAGAGATCCGGCAATCGTGTTCTAATATTTAGTCAATGGACATCGATGCTTGATATCTTAGAATGGACACTTGATGTCATCGGCGTTACATACCGAAGACTTGACGGCAGGTAAAAAACGAAAAAAAGGAGGTAATTTTCACCATCTTAACGACTCTACAAAAGCAGCTAACAGTTACCTTTTTTACAGTACTCAAGTCACAGATAGACAAACCATAGTCGACACATTCAACAACGACAAGTCGATATTCGCTTGTCTGCTGTCAACACGAGCAGGTGGACAAGGTCTGAACTTAACTGGAGCAGATACGGTTATCATTCACGATATGGATTTTAATCCACAGATTGATCGACAAGCCGAAGATCGATGCCATCGTATCGGTCAAACAAAGCCAGTCACTATCTTCAGGTTTGGTTCGATTTGGCATATATGTCCACCATCTATTTTTCACCGATCTCTCTAATAGTAACTCTTGGCAATATTGTTACAGATTGGTGACGAAATCCACGGTTGATGAGAACATCTACGAGATTGCAAAGCGGAAACTAGTTCTCGATGCGGCAGTTCTAGAGTCCGGAGTTCACGTAGATGACGACGGAGACACGCCTGAGAAAACCATGGGAGAGATCCTCGCTTCTCTTCTCATGGGATAACATTATTTTTCTCTTTCTCTTTTTGTTTTGTTTGTTTTGAGGTAAAAAAAAAGCCAAGAAACAAAATTTAAATGTGTTATTGGAAACATCTGTAACACTTAGCTCTTCTTAGACTAAGTTTAATATATCATAAAATAGTTATAATTTTCCTTGCGCATGTAAATTGAAAACGAAAACTTTCTTCTTCACACCAATAGACCGCAAGATGCAAAACCCTTTACGTTTAGAAAAATTGATTTTCAAGTTGGAAATAGGAGCTTTAATTACACACATGAATTGTAAATTATTCGAATTTTAGCCGTCCGTTTGTCTATATATATAAAGGGAGAACTGATGCATGTATCAGAAAATGATTTGAAAGAAATAAAACTGAAAAGTTTATTCTCTAGAATAAAATTAAAAAAAGGTTTATTCTCTAGTTAACAAAAGCAACCACTTTTTTTTGTTTTCTTTGGTTTTTTGTCGACAAAATCAACCACTTACTACACACAAAAAAAAAAAAAAAATACATTGGGGAATTTGCTAAATTGACTCAGTTTGAATTAGCGTTTTGCGAAATAACCTTTGCTTTATTTTTACCAACCATTTCCTAAATTATCCTTTGATTAATTCCGAAAATTACAAATAAATGGTTTTTATAATTTTATAAAATTAAGAAAATACAAAAGAGTAATACACAAGACATATAGATTCATYTACAWTTTTTTTTTWWWWAAAACTATGARAGAAAATTATTTATTTTTGCTTCTACCGTGGTCGAATCTACTAGTAGATTAGGTGTTCTACTAATTTGAATAAATCTACGAATGGTAGAATGAAGTATTCTACTAATTGCTCAATTTCTACATATCACAGATTGCACAATCTACCATTTGCTTCAATACTACCAGTCGCAGAATGCTAGTTCTACCAATGTCTTTGTCATCTACGCCAGGCAGAATGCATATTCTACCCCTTCTATCTACCTCTTTCTCTATCTTCTACCAAATGGTAGAAAGTCTAAACTACCAAAAGTAGTTTAAATCCCCTAAATCTAGGACAATTAAATATTTACTTTCCATAAAATGATTTTTTCGGATATTTGCTTCCAATTACGTTTTTTCTTTATTTATTTTTATAAATTATTTTTAATTATTTTTTTTTAAAATGTTTTTTTTCGGATATTTACTTCTAATTGGAAAAAACACATTCTAATTTTTTTGTGTAAAGGAAAAACTTTTATGAATATAGTTTTGCGAAACAGGG